TTAATCTCAATTTAATTTTTTAAGCCTGCCCACAAGCCGCATAAAAGGGGGCCTTTGGGCTGACACCAACCATTATTTCTTTTACAACTATTACTATTTATTTTTTTTTTTTTAATCACACGGGCCGATTTCCCACCAGGGCAGGGTGGCCCGAAAAGAAAACTTTCACCACATTCACTCCATCCCGTCTTGCCAAAGGGTGTTTTACACTACATTTTTTAAACTGCAACATTAACCCCCCTCCTTCAAGTGCAGGCACTGTACCCCCATCTCCAGGACTCAAGCCCGCCTGCCGGTTTCCCTGAACCCCTTAAAAAATGTTACTTTGCCACACTCCAACAGCATGTAAAGTATTAAAAACCTGTACTATGTATCATTTCCAAATAATAATAATAAATAAATAAGTTCGAAAAGGCGTACCTTAGACTTTCTGCCCAATCTCCCCAGGCAGGAGAAAAAAAGGATGCCCTCACCCCCACCCTTTTGGAAAATTTTGCTTCAGTAGCTCTCATCAAAACCTTAACTCTGGTGGAAACCCCTCTCAAAGGGCCCCTTTGGGTTTTGTGGCCTAAAAGCCGAAGACAATAGGGGGCTTAATCTGATCCTCGAAAAACCTCTTGGAAAACGTTTGCTTTAATTTTTCCCAAAAGGGACTTTTCGGATACGGGGTGACCATACCATGAGGTCAACAATATTTATTCCCAGTCTGCCTTAGGAAAGGCCCAATGCAGTCATTATAAGTCGCGAGAATGGTTTTACTTTTCCCCAGCAATGGGAACGAAGGGGGCAGGGGGTGTTTTTTTACCGGGTTTCCCAATTTTCTGACAGATGGGACAGTTCTGCAGGTACTTTTCACCCTACTTTTCTTTTTGGCCAAAAAAATACTGAGCCAACTTCCCCCCGGTTTTCCATATTCCCAATCCCCACATAGACACTGGCAAGTTTCCAAGTCGAGTCTGAAAACTAGCCATAAGACCAACATGTTTGACCTAGAAAGCTGGGTACCCAGCATTTCTGAAGGAGTTTTTCCTCAAAATGTCACCAAAATAAAAACACCGTCTATCAACTCCTCCATCTTGTAATGCTTTTCCTCTTTCACTCTCTAAAGAAGAGTCTTTTTGCTCCCTTCACAAAAATTCTGGCGGGTTTAAAATTCACAAACCCCCAAGGGAGTAAGATCCAAAACCCCCAGGCCCCCCGGGGTCTTATCTTTGACTGGTTGGGGAACATCACTAAACATGAACTAAGCCCAAATCAGGCAACTTTTCCGAGTGGGAAGTGATACTGGAGATTTTGACATAGCTCTCATGATTGCAGAAGAGGAAAAACAGATCGTCTTACAACCTTAAAAGGGCATGGGTTTTTCCAGGGTTTTTTTTCAATAACCGGGTTTCTCTGCAGATTCCTCCCACTCAAATCATTTCCCAAAAGAAAGGCCACCAACTTGAGGGAAAATTTGGTGCAAAATTCCTACCACGCATACCTTTGAAAATTTTTTTCACATATACCTGTGAAGGGGAAACCTAGTATTGTACCCCCATAATCCTCAATAAAACACCCAAGGGGATAAAGTATTCACAAAAGGGAAAAACTCCCTTTTCCAAACAATTTAAAAAAAGCTCCAGTTTTCCTAAGACACGTGCCACAAGTTGGGTAGGGGTAATCTCGCCTTACCCTAGAAAAGAAAGGAAGATTGCCTCCACCTTTCCCCTTCGTGAACTCTTGGGGGAATCAGTCTCTATACTAGAAACTGTCCTTTTAGTTTTGCCCCCTTGGATTCCCCTTTTCCCCTTTTCAGTTTGGCAGACGATTCTTTTTATTGGGACAGTCTCCAAAAAATTCGCTTATGTCCGGCTAACTGGAAACAGAATTTCTAAAGTGGCCTTGCTTCTGACAATAGAAGCGGTAGGCCTCCTAATTTATATCTCATGGTAATTTTTTGGGACACTTTTTCTTACAGTTTTGAGTCAAGTGTAAAAATTCACGGGGCAAGGGCATACTTCTGGTGAATTCCTCTCTAGGATGAACTGTTTTTTCCCTTGGGGAAGATTGCCTACCTCCCTAACGGTTTTTTCCCCCCATAAAAAGTTTTATTTCAAAGTGTCTGCCAAAGAAAAAGAAGCTAACGCATCCAAGGTCTGACACTAATCAAAAATTTATGCACATCTCCCATCCGAGCATTATGAAACTCCTCCTGAAGTATGAGTTGAATCAGACTCTCCATTGAGTCAATCCGGGACGACCTCAACCACCTTTCGAAGCTACTTTCTCTGTCGGGCAAATCAAACCCACGTCTGTCTGGGTAGCCCTTCATAGGGCAAAAATTTCCCTTTAAAAAAACTCATGGGAGTAAGTTATACACCTTAAAAATTACTTTCTGATTTCTTCATAATCCCTATACTTATCATAAGGAAGAGTCGCAGTACAGGTTTGTGACTTGCCAGTCAGTGTGGTGTGTAACAATGTAGCCCAATTTTTCCCCGGGCTATTACCCTTTCCCCATTCTCGAAGGTTTGAAAGTAGGATCCAAGTCCTCCCACAAACCTGGGCACAACAAGCTGCTATGTGCAAGCAGAAACAAGTTTGGAAAACTAAAATTTCCTCCCACCTCAGCTTGTTGCCCTCATACGAATTTTTTTCTCTCTAAATCTCCTTTTTATATAGTTGGCACGTGCTTCTAGCTGGCGTCTGCAACTTTTAAAAGGGGGTTCCCACCCAAAAAATGTTCAGAGGAAGGGGTCAAGACACTGGGGGAGTTGGGGGGGGTCGCCCCTCTGGTTGAATTTTGGGAAAAACCCCTACTTCTTTTGTCAGCATACACCATC